TGTATATTACCGACTTGAATTTCAACAGTAGAACACGCCATAACAGTTCGTCGCGAAAACTTATAATCGTATCAAACCACCGTTAATATCTTCACTCTATCATAACCATAGTGACAAGTTTTAATTTAAGCGTAAAAACGTCATGGTAAATCGATTGCTATTAGTAAACGTTATACCTTATAATCGCACGCGTATCGTTACCGCAGGGTAAGTAATGCAATGCACCAGGACGCCCCATGATTGTAAACGGATAAAAAATAAAAGCGATCACATTCACACACATAGCCTCGAACCCCTTTTCACCACAGTCACCTCTAGCGATTGTTAAAGCTCTTTTAAAACACCATTTCGAATCATCATCTTTGTTCGGAAAACAATAGTGGTCAACAGATTTCGTTGCGCCGAGTCTTTTCCAAGAACACTATTATTGTGTGCCTATTATCGGTCGTGTCAGTGTTCATACTTTTGTAACCGTAAACGATAAATTTAAATATCCCAAATGTTTTTAAATTAAAAAAAAAAAAAAATTGAAAAGGACAGACCCCGTCGCCCGCTTTGTGTTGGAAAAACTGGTATTTGTTCCAGTTTTATTGCTTTATTCGCATATTTATGTATAAATATCGTGTTTCTCTCAATTTCCTGACGGATGAGTATATTATTCAGTTGTTTTTTTTTTCCTGCGTACATATACGATTCAGCAGGCGTATAATATATTTATATACGTATATTCTCCCGTTGCGTACACACGTATGTATAATATATGTGTATGTATGAACGAAGCTGGTTAGATTATCGTCAGAGACACACATTCGCTCTGACACCCCAGCGGTAGACATGCATCAACGGTCGTGAAAAGGGAAAACGGCACACTAGCGCGCCGCACAAGTCGGTTCACCGACTGTGACTAATACAATACATCGGCAAAACATGTGCTGGCGACGGTGCGAAGTTTGTTTAATATTCGTCGCCAAAGCCGTTCGGGGGATTTGCTTTTACATTCTTTTCGCGGTCGCGCGCGTGCATTTCACATAAGAGGTTTTAGTGTTACGCAATTAGAAAATTTGATTTTGCATCGTCTCTAATTTTCGTGTTTGTTTTCCGACACGGCGGTGACGTGCGATAAAATTACGTTTTCCCAACACGTTTTCGTGCTACTCGAAACACATTAAGTATAATATACAGTGCCGGGCCTAAGTCTCCGGGACGCGACCGAAAGTTATAGGGTTGGTGGTTATTTATATGGAAAAAAAAAGCAAATACAGTTGGTATAGATACAGTACGATAAAAGCTCGAATAATAAGGAAATATATCATGATATAATTTAACCGCGGAGTCGGCTTTCACAGTTTTTGTTCAACTTTACTTTCCGTTTCGAAATGTCGCTTTTGATAAACATTGTCTACTTCATGCTGTTTTTTAACAATCCACTTTGAGTTTGATCGATATAGATGTATTAGTGAGTTCGATAAAAGCGAGTTCATTGCGTTTCTATCATAAACTCGTGCCAATAATTGACGGGAAACTTAAGAGATTCTCGCCGCGATAACCGTACCACCGTAAACCGTTTAAACCGAATAATGGATCCGTTTCGAGTACTTTCAATCGTACGTCATCTTGTCCACATCGACGTTGTATACATATGTAAATGCACTGCGTACACGTGCTCGACATTTTTGTACGGTGTACATACGAGGCATTTGCGTCGGACGAATCGCACCGCGAATATATTATAGAAACCGCCGGGATACCGTCTACGGATTGTCTGTAAATTGGAAATGGCACTAAAAATCTCGAACGTAAGACATATCCGAAAGGTCTAAATACACTGTTTAGTATAAAACTTGATCTGATCAGAAGCCGTTGTTGTTTTACTACTCGATGTTCATTACTCGCATAAATATTATACGTGCATGTGCGTCTATTTTAACATTTTGGATAATATGAATTGTGTGGAGACACTCGACGCGTATTACATAAAGGCAATTGTCATCGTAGCATCGAGCGCGTCGGCAATATGACACATCCAGACGAACAATTAATTCAGTCGTAAATTGCGCATACACGTTTGACATTCTCGATGCATCGCATCGTCTGCCGTTCGTCGTACGTGTGCGTATAAATGCAACGAACGTGTTCGGCGGTGGCTTGCAAAGTTTGTCAAACATTTAATCAGATTTCTCCGAGCGAGTAAATAATACTAGTGGTATTAATAATAATAATAATTAAAACGATAACAATAATAATATATATATATATATGTATTGTGCACGAATTTAAATGTACACTTACACGGTTTATGCATTAATTAAATTCGATAAGACTCGCGAACAGCTCCCGTGTTTAAGCGTGTGATTATTCGAACAATAGTGATGCGAGCGACGGAAGGGAAAGAAAATTTGGAGAAGGTCGCAGGACGTGGTCTGACTGGCTATCATCTCGATTTGACGCGTTTCTCGATTTCGATTGAAATACGACGGATAAAGAAAAGAGTAAGAGAGGGTAAGAAACGAGGAACGAAAAAAAAAAGGAATACTCTCCTCGATGTCGATCCGAGAGGGGCGAACGCGTGGTAGATTTCATTTCAATCTCGCAAATTCATCATTTCAGATGTGTGTAAAAATGTAATTCCGAACAATTCGACGTGCCCGGTATTCGTAAACGCGTAACACGCGCGCGCTCAGTAGACGCGTACACAACCCAAATCTATCATATGTCTTCTGACGTTTTTCACCGGAAACTATAATATTACATGGTCTCCGGATCTAAGTAAACAAAATCCGTCCTTATCACAGCGTTACCATGCCAATGGACAAACAGGTATAAAGCCCTTATTTTTTTATGTACATATACGTGTGTATGTGTGTGTGTATTATATACGTATGAATGTGTTATTATAGGTTATTGTTTGCCCGTTTGGTCGACATGAACTGTGTATGTATGTGTGTGCTTATGTGCGTGTGTGTGATGTGTACTCGCGTTTATATGCACCGGCAGTATTTTATACCCGTTTCGACCCAAATATTTATTTAACCAACTTGATTACCGTCGTCCTCACCGCCAACGCTGACGGCGAATGAATTTAATCAGATTCGGACCAGAAAAAACTTCGGACGTGACGAACGATATGATGATAAACATTAAATTACAGCGCTGCAAAAGTTTTCTGTACATTGATTGTGGATAGGGAAAAATTATAACAATGACAAATCGAGTGTGTTCGACTATAAAAGTCAATTTTATACAGAAAAAAATGTTTTATCGTATTGTAAATTTTAAATTTTACAGACATGACGACGTTTTTTAGTAAAATATATTATTCGTACATCATTCTAACGACATGTATCAAAAATATGAATATACAGTCGTATATTTTATATACACGTATAAATTTCTGTGTATGAGAATAAATATAAATGTGTTACTTGGATAAAAAATTTTTTTTTATATATACACACAAATGTATTTTCCATCGTAGAATTGATGCATGCAATTTCATCGTTTTCTACGTATATTATCAGTTGACGGGTATGAATCACAGGTTTAGTTGAGAGGAATAACGCGACAAGAAAATTCACCCCTTGTATAAAAAATGATCCGTAAAACATATTTGTTGGAGCATATATATATGTATACATCTTAGTGCTAGTGGATGGAGAAAAATAATAACAAATGAATGTTCTGTGTCAATCGAGGAGAAAACATGACTTGTCGGTTCGCGCGCAATAGAGTAAGCCTATCAAATTTCAAATATTCAAATTTCTATTTTCCGAAGCAATATCAATCCAATTCAAGTGTGCGTGAACGGGTACGAATAGAAATAGGAAGGAGTAGAAAAAAAACCATGTATACTATGGTGTAAGGTGGCATGGTTGGGAAAAATATTGCGACAAAACAATATCATGATGCATTTTGTCGACTGGTAAATATTGCAGCGAGAGAAGTATCAGACAGAAATCATCAGCCACTTGAAAATCGCCCCTATCTTATACCAACAGTCGGGTGTTTGAGAAAACAGCTTTTAAAAATCAGAGAGACAGAATGTAAAAATATAAAAAGGCAAAAACGTACACAAATGTGCAGAAGCCCTGCGGGAAATCAAGACTCGGATCGATTGCGGATCGGCAGGGGCCGGAAGAAGCGACCGGAGGAAAAATGCATGTATAAGGACAGCGAGAGATTAGTGGTGAGGATGCGGATAAGAACAAGTGAGCATTTGGAAGCTATTAATACGACCTTCTTTTTTTTTTTTCGCTTTTTTTCATCTCTCCGATTATTTCTCTTTTGTAGCATTGACGAAAGAAAAAAAAAATCTAACTGAAATGGAAGTTAAATTGAAAAAGAGATTTACCTGGGGGATTATCAAAAGTGTTGGAGAGGAGTATTGCAATCTTTGACGGGGAAACCGCAAGTATTTTAACGTCGTCACTAGTATGCAATTTTGGCGCGTGAAAGATCAAGGAAAATAACCATAAACTCTTTCGGTGTATATAACTGAAAATCCTGAAACGATGACGTTACGCGTAAAAACGATATTTACCTAACAATATGATGTATAATTCCTCGGGTAATTTACGTTTCATGGACAACCCATACTTCCTTTAAACATATATAACCAAATCGTAAATCGATTTCTCTCCTATTCGTTTAAAAAAAACATTAGTCGAAAAAGTTAAATTGCAATATTAATTCAATAGAACGCAAATATGCAGACAATAATGATATTATCGACTCAAAATAGTGAACAAATAATGTATTTTCATTTAAAGAATAATTTTGTTATATGAAATATGCGCTTATGCCCATCTTTAAGTAGATTAATAGTGCTCATTAGCTTATAACTTATGATAAATGTATAGATATTCGGAATGAAACTGCGAACGCGGGTGTGTTACAACGTGTATTACAAAACTAAAACTAATCGTGGTTTTATTGTCAAATTGGCGTATTATACGCGTTTTTGTATGCACAATGCTAAAATTATTTTTGTTTTGTTTCCGCAGGATTCCATCAATCTGGATCCATCGAACACTATGAGTTGCACGTCAAAAGGAAAATCTGAGGTAACGTATAACAATAAAATTGACTGATTTTTATTATTTAATTTTTTTTATTTATCGTATAAATCATAATAGTAATAATAAAATACTGGGTGTCGGGTGAAGAGGTCGGCTGAAGTCGTATTTTACGCAAAACAGGTATACGCAGGCATTAGGAGGAGACTTTAAGCTTTTGTTCTTTTTTTTTTTTTTTTGCATTCGGAGCTGACAGGAGGGAGCAATATGTTTACAATAACAATGGCGAGGAACGAAAGAAAATACGGAATTATTTCTCCTCTGCGTGCGAATGTATACGTTCGTATGCGTGTGTGTATAATATATCCTTGCACAGAGACAAAGAGTAATAAATTTCCCCGCATAGGTTGGATAAAAGAAAATTTCTGAATTCAAAAACCCGGATTAAAAAAAAATAATAACAAATAAATAGAAACGATGTAAGGCGACACGTGTAGAAAAAAATCAACAGTTCTAGAAATCGTCTCTTTCAATTTACATGCAGTTTAGACTTGATGAATTTGATGAAAATAATGGTCATATGACTATAGTTCTGCCGAATTATCAAAAAATAACTAGAAATTTAAAAATAAATCTGGTGCAAAACATTATTTATTTATCAAACAAATATTGAATTTATCTCGAAAAGTTATTATAAAAAGATCCAATTTATCAGAATATATATAGTTATTATCACTGACGAGCTTATAATTTTCGTTGTTACCCCAGCAATATCAGCTGAAAGTAAAATTATGTCATGATTTAGTAAAAATATGCCGGACTGACGCATCACCGGGTCTTCAAGACTATACTACGCATATAAATGTATAGTTATAATCTACGAAATCGACTAAACCTCGGCCAGCATTATATAATAGCAATGTATACTAACTTTGGTCACCCGGTCCCATTTTCACATCGAGTTTAATTTGTAAAATAGCTCTTAATGCGTAATCCATTACCGTTAAGCTCGGACGGAAGTCAATAATCCAATTCCGAACCCCCGAGTTCTTGCGGTTTATTAAATTCTTAACACTCTAGCCGCCGAACGACCCCAATCGCCTGCTCCGTCGCCGTCGTCTTCGTTCGGCTGTCCTTCTACCCCGCGGGCCGCCGGTCGCGATTGAATTAAATCTACCAGAGATGAAGATATACCCGACATTGGCACTGGCCGTCAAAAGCAATTAGCATTTTAATTCGGACGCCGAACAATACCCAGATACCCTCCGGGGGTTAAAGCGATAGTGAGGAGGTGCAGTGCTACTGTTGACAGGAACTGCATGTATAGCATAATATATATATATATATATATATATATACATATAGTACAATATATAGTCGACCACGCCGACCGATAGAAGAGCGAAGCGTTCGGTTTATTTAACAAAGCTCTATTATTTTCATTTTTTTTTCTTCATAAAATAAATAAAAATGTTTATGCACGTATATATGTGTGTGTGTGTACGAGTGCGTAGGTATGAAATTCAAAATCAAGTCGTGGAATACCGTGGCCGTCAAAAACAGAACAATGTTGTTAACCGTATCGCTATTATGCAAATAATAATTATAAGCACGTCGTGTCTACGCGTGCGCGTCGCACGGGCGTGCCTCGATTAAGCCAACTATCAAAAACAATTATGGGGTTTTCAACTTCTACACCACAATATAATGGTTCGATAACTCGCGGACGAGTAGTTATAGGAGAAGGTCCCCGCCATTCGTTCGCATCTTGTATTATAATTACATTCGAACGCCCGATGGCGGTGAACAATACTCCTCGTATCGGCCGGCAACTAAATGCAAAGTCCATCCAGATGGCTACTGCAGGAATGTAGCTATATGATAGGCTTAATTTTTGAACAATACGACATCTGGTCAATACGTGTTGTAATAAATCGATTGTAATATCCTACAAGACCGTCGGAAACGAATAAGAAAAAATTGTATTAATGAGTTTCCTATGACTTTCCTTCGGGCTATATCATTGATCATTTGTCACGCCTCTCCTCTTTCTCTCTCGTCGATTTCCTATATAACTCGGTTTTTATGCCCGTCTAAATGTCTAATATACACATTTGACAATAATGAATCGGTCGTATCAAAATTCGAAAACCTTATCTTTTTTTACCTGTTTATTTTTTACATCAAAACGTGACAATCGTCAATCTTCTTCTTTTTTTTTATTATTTTTTAGTTCATCAAACGAATACATTTTTAGTGACTTGAGAAAGATTAAAATATGTTTAGTGTAATAGTTTCAAACTTTAATACTTGACACGACATGATTTCCCAGAAAATATACACTAATTTTAACCACAAAATTGTAGCCTAAATCATGATTCTCACAGGAACACCACTATTTTCTTAGTGCGGAAAAGTTGAATATTCGCAGCTTATCTCAGTGCAATTTCGTATTTTTAATTTTTATAGTATTACACCTTTTTAAGCTCGTATAATCTTAATTGAGAAGTAATGCGAAACAAAAACTAACTACAGCGGAAAGTTGTTCAACAAGTTTGTTTACAACTTTAAACGACTTTTGGTCATCAGTAAATATTTAACGATGAATACTCGTTCTTTAAATCCTCTTGTATTAATATTTTTGGTCCGTATAATTATTTTATTCAGTGTCGGCCTGGCTATGGTCTCTCCTTTTTTTTTTTTTTTTTTTTTTTTTTTAGTCTCGTAAATTTTGTTTTTTGGTAGGTACATAGAGAATAAGAACCCCGTAAAGTATTCAACTGTAATTTTTGGAGCAATTTTTCTTTTGGGGTCTAGGAAATTCAAAATCGAATCAATACTCAGATGCTTGTCCATTACCTATAGTATGAGCAGTGCATAACAGTACAATTGTCAAGAAAAGTAACTACTGTCTCACGAGTTTGAGGAGGTTTTTTGGATTAATTGCGTTATTACAAGTTAAGTTAGATTTTATCTTTCTTCTTAAAAACAATGGGTTTGGACGAGGCCACGAGGACCTTACTTGCTAGAACCTGCAGGGGCCCCGGAGTTTTTGGATTCAGTGATCATGCAAATATGGCATACATAAATAAGTATAATATATATAAGTACAGTGGTTAACATATTATTACTATAATAACTATATTATACTACCTATATATATAATATATTGGGTCTTGTTCTTGACTATTTATAGCATTATAGCAAAACTTGGTTTATTTTCCCAGGAAATTGCTTATCTATGACGTCGACACACAATATATCATTATATTATTATATTCAGTGGTAAAAGGTATTAACTATTTTCGAATATTATACTACTGTAAACGGTCAGCAACTGTGCAACACTAATACCTATTATTATTTATATTAAAATAAAACAAGTAATAAAATAATATTATTTTTACTCTAACTGTGAATGTGTGTCTATTGTGTGATAGTGTAAATTTAATATATTACTAAATTACATATTAAACTATTAAATTAAAAATGAAAGAACAGTCGAATGCCTTTATTTCATTTTTTCAAAAAAAAGTTAAAGAAAACAGCTTGTCAAAATGTGATTCAGGTCAAGACCAACCTAGCAAAGAACTAGAGATAATAAAGTTAAACTATTTTTTGAAATAATCTAAATGTTTGTCGTGTCAATTTCAATACACAATCCAAATTCATTGCTAAGTCATTAATTAGTAATTGATCAAGATTTGAAATTAGTTGTACATCTAATTTATTCCTTAATATTTATTCAGCCACAACTCCGGTATCTATTTATATACAAACGAAAACAATTAATTATTTACAAGTATGGAATATGATAGTTGCCTTAAAAAAAAGAAACTACGAGTATGTATTAAATTTGTATAAAAGATTTTAAAATTTTAGTAAAAAAAATAAATAATCACTTTTATGAAGAAGATTTAATGATATTTTAGATAAAACGTAATTAAAAAAAAAAAACCTTCTGGGTAAAAGTGTTATGAATCAAGAATTATATCTCCATATAATAAATTTAAATATGATACTTTTTTAATTATAGATAATATTCAAAATAATATTGAATCACGATTCATGAAAAATGAAAATTTATTAAAAGACTTGAACTGGTTGGACCCCAGAAGTTTTACAGTATTTAATAACAATGAAATAATGCCTATATCAGCTTTGAGTACTTAATGTAAGATGTCTGGTTATAATGTCTGGATTGAATCATCAAGTAATCTTAATAGAATTGAAACAATTTTCCAGTCAATATGAAAAATTTATACCATAAATACCTAAATATACTATCGATTGTAATTCAGAAAAAAAGTTATTTTTAAACAATGAAGGTGTAAGTGGAAGTGATGAAGACAATGATAAAATATCAAAATCAATAAATTGCAATAAATGCTACAAATGTATTCACTGTGAATTTTTGATAGTATGAGAATTATGCCAATCAAATTTATTTATCATTTATAAGTTTGCTTTGTTATTGCCATCAACACAAATAACTTGTGAAAGGGTACTTTCAAAGCTTAAATGTATAAAAACAAAACTTCGCTCAACATTACACCAAAATCATCTTCCTCATTAATGATAATGGCTATAGAAAAAAATATAACTATTGATACCAAACAACTAATTGAGACCATAGTTAATTCATGTAATAATTAAAAAAAATTACTTATATAAAAATTGTGTTTTATTATTTAAATGATTCTTACTATTTCAAAAATAATTAGCTGTAAAATTGCTTTTATATTTAATAAGTTAACTCATGAGTTAACTAAATTGTTTATTATGATCCGTATAAAGGTGGATACAGTGGTACTAAACGGGGAGGGGGCAATTTGTTAATTATCAATTAAAAAATGGTCATTATTTATTTAAAAAAAAAAAACTTTGTTGTATATATGATATTTTTTTTATGAAAAGTGGGCGGCGGGAGGGGAATTGCCCCCATTGACCCCCCTTTTATCCGCCCTTGGATCCATATTGGTAAAAATGTAAAGTATATTTGAATCGCTTATTACAGAAACCCCGTAAGAGAGAAAAATTTCGAAACA